TTAGCAGCCACACTTTACGACTTTCTAACAGGTCCCGATTTTCCCGACTTTGGGTCATTGACCTGACCTGGAAGGTCAATCAATGACCTAGGACCTTAAAATTGGGTATCATCGGCTTCCTCTCGTCACGGGCAACACGCTCGTTTTTTCCGCGAAGCTCTAGCTCGATCAGGGGCCAAACGGCAAGGGGGGGTCCAACCAACCCCCCCCCCCCCTACACATTAGAAGCTGGCAAACGCCGCACACATGCGAGGGTTAAAGTACTCACCTGAAGCGTCTCGTCGCGTTCTTTCGTTTGCCGCCTCGTGCGTTTCGCTGCGCCTATTGGTTCTCGAGTTATCGGCTGGGGGCGTTTAACGCCCCCCCCCCCCCCCCAGCAAACGGTGGGTGGCGAAATACCCCAGCAACTGCCGGGTTAAGCATTTAGACCAGGTCGGGTCAGGTCAGGTCACGTCAGGTCAACCGGTAGGGGTCGTGACGGGTATTCGTAATACGTGTCAACCGCTTCTGCAGCTTCGTAACATGTTACGAATGCACCAAAACTACTTCGTTAATGTTCAAATGGTTGCTAAATTCGAAATCAGCTCTAAAAACTAGCCTAGAAACATGTAAAACTTGAAAAAGTGAACCGAGGTCACGAAAGGTCATTGACCTGACCTGACCTTCAGGTGACCTTGACATCCACCCCAATGCATGGGAGCAGCATCAAATCACATGTTTGAACGTTTGAAACCACGAAAAGCTTGCAAACGCGCGGCTAATGCGAGCCGACATACGCCGAATCGCGATTCCGGCCAAATATGGTCTCGGAAGGTAGGTCACAGGTCAAAGGTCATTTGGGTCAGGGTCATGAAATTTTCAGGGTGGGTGTAAAATTGAGCAATGCGAGAGTACTGAAAGTTTCGTCGCGATCGGCCGCTTTTTACGCGAGTTTGCGAAAAACCTCAGGGGGGCTGCATCAACCCCTCCCCCTGTGCCGGCGAGGGTTAAGTTGAAAGTATCAATTTGGTTCAAAATGATGATGTAGATAACCTAGTTATCTACATCACTCATAACCTAGTTATGATGATGTAGATAACCTAGTTATAACCTAGTTAACGTGAAAGATAGGATTCCCAAGGCCAAGCAAAAGGGTACGATATATGAAATGCAATGTGAGTGTGGCGAAATTTACATTGGAGAAACAGGGCGCCCAAAAGATGTCAGGCTCAACGAGCATGCTAAAGACATCGAGCACGGGCGGGTACAAAAGTCGGCACCCGCTCGGCACACTAGGCAGTGCGGTAGAAACATGCACCCCATGGAAGGCAAAACTTTGGCATGTGAGAGTAACTGGAAAAAGAGAATCGTGCGCGAAGCAATAGAAATAAAAGAAAAAGATCCATACATGAACATAGATGTAGGAAAATTTGGCCTTAGTCCAATATGGGATTTCACCCTTAGAGATAGGTCGACATGAGCATAAGATGTCATCCATAGGAACTAAACATACACCCGGTTGTGCAAATTGATCTATTGTGTCCGATGTATGTATCTCTGTAGACACAAGTAAGGTAGTAGGTATCCATATAGAAGATTGGTTGCACTACTTGTTATGTAGAGGAACATGCAAGCTAAAAGACCGTGTCAGTTTTTTGGCAAGTGATATATTTTTGAAAAATTTAACCCGTCTAGGGAATAATTTTGGTGTGTGGTTTTTCATATATGTAATTGTTTTTATTTTGTCCAGTGACCAAGGGTGAGCAACATCATCCGAAATATATGGACTTGTGAGCTAGATATTATTATCCCAGAGAATAATCCGAAAAGTGACTATACATAACCTAGTTATTTAAAGCTAACTATCTTACGACGAGAGCGGTCGGCATTCTTGGTATGCAGTGTTATTCATTGAAAACCGGTCGGAGCGTTTGAGTCTTTAACACGCACAGTGGAAGGGTTGCGAGTACACCTTTTTGCACTCAAAATAGGCATCTTTTCATTCAATTTCGGCGAATTGCATTCAATTTTAGCGATCTCTCTATTCGAAGCAAATGAGAGATCGCTAAAATTGAATGTAATTCGCCGAAATTGAATGAAAAGATGCCTATTTTGAGTGCAAAAAGGTGTACTACGCCCAGTGGAAGGGGGGGCGGATGTCGCCCCCCCCCTAAGATCTCAGCTCCCACTGGAGCTAGAAAAACGAAATTTGGAGGGTAGGTGGGGGCCATGGGGAACTCTGTTGTGTGTGAATTTCATGACCCTAGGTCAATATCTTCAAGGTCAAATGAGGTCAAATGTGGTCAAATCTGCCATATTAGCGACTTTTTTGCGTTTACACGACGATAACTCAAAAAGTTACCGGCCGATTTTTTTACATCTTTCACTATACGAAAGAACAAACATTCGTGAGTATTTATGGTGAATTTCTAGATAATCCAACAATAAATATGGCAGTTAGAAGCCTGCTAAGGGTAAGATGTCGCCGGCTGAAGCGGCATCGGCCGACGCGGGAAACGCGGCAATCGCAATTTTGTGTTTACACACTCATAACTCAAGTTGTTACCGGCCGATTTTCAAAATTCTTTGACCATATGATTGCCTGTACATTTCTCAGTCTTCTCACCGAATTTGACGCGAATCTGATATAATCAGCGGTAAGGAGCGCGATGTAAAGACGGAACCGTCCCGCCCCGGCACAGTCTACAATTCAGGCGGCGCGTAACGGCTAACGCCGGCCGCCGCGCCGCCGCGCCGCCGCGGCGGCAGGATGTTTGACTTTACACTGCTATTACTAGAAAAGTTGTGAACCGATTTTCTTACTTCTTGCACGAGAAGATCCGCAATTCAATTCTGGACAGGTAGCCGAAATTTCACATTGATATTATGCTTGCGGCGCGAGTTATTGGCGAAAAACAGGAGGAGTGGGCGAAATCCGCCCCCCCCCCCCTTCCACTGCGCGTGTTAACCCTCGCCCTGGCAGGGGGGGTCGATGCGACCCCCCCTTAGGTTTTTCGAAGATGGCGTAAAAACGGCGGCGCGCAGCGCCGCCAAATTTGGCACAGCCTATGGGGCAGCCTTTTTACATATGACCTGAAAATTTCAGGTCCGGGTGACCTTGGGTCAGGTCACCAGGTCAGAAAAACGGTACAAGGTCATGGTCAAATTTCAATTTTCTTTTTGCACCTGTCCAACTCACAGTTTTGCACTGATTTCCTTCAAACTTCCAGGATGTGCTAAGTTCACCGAGTTGTATAACATATAGGTCGGGTTTTTTGAGGTCACTGACCTGAGGTCAGTTAGAGGTCATTACGTCGTAATGTTAAGCCTATGGGAAAATACTAAATTCGGAAAATACTGGAGATATCCGCTTCGTTCTATCACTTTTGTGCTTTGAAACCACAGTACTTAACAGCAGGTCACTTGGTGCTTCTTTGTTTGGTGTACTTATCCATGGGTCAGGTCAAATGAGGTCAACTGAGGTCAAATGACGTTTTTCCAATAACTTGGCACATAATGACGCTAGAGCTTAAAAAATGGTATCATTGTGTTCCTGGTGATCAGCTGAATCGACTGATATGCGATATGATGCAATTCGGTTAACTTTAACTTAATTTATCAATTTAAGTTTATTTAAAATTTAAGAAAAACTTTTCGTGCACTTCAGCAAGCTAAAAAGTACATCATTCGACGCGCCTTGACGTGCTGAGTTCACTGGTGCTTTTCTTTTTGCTCTATCTTAATTAGATCAAAAGTTATAAGCGAAAAACTTTTGACCTGTTTTAAGCGAAATTTTTACATTTATAACCCCCAAAACCCCCTAAATATTGACCTAGAGCAACCAAATTTGCACAGGGGCGAGAACTCCAGGGGGCCCACCTATCTATAAAATTTGGTGTTTCTAGGTGCCATAGGAGCCAATCGCGAGGGGGGGGTCGCATCGACCCCCCCCCTGCCAGGCCGTGTTATGAAAAATGCCCTGCCAGGGCGAGGGTTAATTAAGTGGTCGCCGCTTACTTATCATGCGGCATACACGCCGCACATAACCGCCAATGCCGCAACGCAGCTTAGATTTCGAAGTAAGCATTTAGTCTCACCCCTGTGCGTGCGGCCCGGGTGTTCCGTTATTACGGAAGGCGCCCAGCCGGTGGCCGCGCTGACAACGCTACGGAACTCCGAATGTCCAGGTTTCGATTGGCACCACTATTACAGATGAAGTAAGGTTGGGGGAGCTTTTATCGAACGGGAATGATAGACGTTCTGATTGCGTATCTAATACCTATAATAACCCAAGCGTATCTAATGGGTTAATTGAAGAGAGGCGACTTATGTCAACTGACCGATGTGCAGCGTGCAAATATTGATACTCTGCAACTGTTGTTTTTGTTGTTGTGTTTGTTTTCAAATGATTTTACCATTCCGTAGTAAGCGACTGTCAGCTGAGCTCATTGAAGGCATGACAGGGACGGTTCTAGGAGGGGGCAAAAAACTTAGTCTCAGGACGGAAAATACAGACTTTTGCCAAAAGTGACGGTCGTGTTGCGGTTATGTAACGCTCTCCATCCGGTGATTGTGGCTTTACCCGGCACGGCGGCTGGGTGCACCGGTACTTTGAGCACGGCTCGCGCGGCCGCTCCGCGCGGCCACCGTTGCGGGTGCTCGCGTATGTGAAACGAGTGTGCTGTCACGTGATAGGCCGAGCCGAGGTCAGGAGCTCCCGCCGGACGGTGCGTCAGTTAGTTTTCAGTACTGACTCAGACAGCACCTCCCGCCGACCTCTGACCGCCGCCCATTCGATAGCCATGTCAACTGCAGCCGCACGGGGAGGTCGGGGAGGTAGCTCTAGTCAACAAGGGGCTATAACAAAGTGGTGTGGTATTGCGCGTCCCTCCGTTAGGACTTCCGCACGCTCGATGGCAGAACCTTTGAGATATTGGCCGGTTTTGTTGAAACAAGTATAGCCTACCATGCAGTGAGCAGAGGGCTGTACAACACTGCTGACTGCTAAACCAAAAACTCACCAGTGTAGAACTTCGATAGGTGTGTTTTTGTCCGACGGATTCTTGCTGCCTCCCACACATGCACCAGCAGAAGAGGGAACATGCCAGCTATATAGTCGACAAGTCCACTCGGAGTGTGACCCACATTGGATCGTACCTTTTCAGGCAGTTCATCGAAGTGGTGAATCTGCAAAAAAGGTGCAAAACTGTTGATTTCGTTGCACGTGAACCAAAGCATGCTATCAACAGTAAAACATAACAGTAAACAACAGTAAATCAACAGTAAACAAAGCAATGCCAATCGTAAAGCACCCCAAGACGAAACGACGGAACTTTCAGTGCCTTACCCACATCAATCTGACATCTTCTGGAGTGAAAAATGGACCTAGCACCTATAAAACACGTCACAGGGTCGATTTTCCCAGACCCCTGTTCAGCAACATTCGACGTCACAAACGTGAATTTCGAACAGCTGCCAAAAATATAGCTTTAGAGATAAAGACAAATTAAAAGCACAGTTGTGTAGTGTATGACCTAGGGAAAAATACAAAAATAGCTTTGCTAAGCTGAGGTCAGAGGTCAGGTCAACGACCCCGAGCTGGAGTTTTATTTCTTTCGAAAATAAATTCAACAAAAAATAGGCCTAGAGCTACGGCAGTGGTACCGTCGCATTCGCCCTGTCAAGACGCGTCGAACCACATAAATTTTGTTTGAAAAAGGTCAAATTTTTCCCTCGCCCGTATTGGTGTTTTTCCAGCCGCGAACGTATGAGGGAGAGGGGTCCCTTGGACCACCCCTTGCCGTTTCGCCCCTGATCAAGCTAGGGCTTTGCAGAAAAAAACGAGCGTATTGCCCGTGACGAGAGGAAGCCGATGATACCCAATTTTAACCCTCGCATGTGTAGGGGGGGGTCGGATGGACCCCCCCCCATGGTTTTTCGCGAATAACTCGCGTAAAAAGCGGCCGATCGCGACGAAACTTTCAGTACCCTCGCATTGATCAATTTTACACCTACCCTGAAAATTTCATGACCCTGACCCAAATGACCTTTGACCTGTGACCTCTTTTCCGAGACCATGTTTGGCCGGAATCGCGATTTCGCGTATGTCGGCTCGCACTAGCCGCGTGTTTGCAAGCTTTTCGTGGTTTCAAACGTTCAAACATGTGATTTGATGTTACTCCCGTGTGTGTCAAGGTCACCTGAAGGTCAGGTCAGGTCATTGACCTTTGGTGACCTCGGGTGACCTCGGGTCACTTTTTCGAGTTTTACATGTTTCTAGGCTAGTTTTTGGTGCTGAATTCGAATTTAGCAACCATTTGAACATTTACGAAGTAGTTTTGGTGACTTCGTAACATGTTACGAAGCTGTCAGAGGCGGTTGACACGTACTACGAATACCCATCACGACGCCTACTGGTTGACCTGACCTGACCTGACCCGACCTGGTCTAAATGCTTCAAGACATCATCTGTGATCAAAACTAACACGATATTCGTGATCAGCACCCCGAAAAACCCCTTAGCAGCCACACTTTACGACTTTCTAACAGGTCCCGATTTTCCCGACTTTGGGTCATTGACCTGACCTGGAAGGTCAACCAATGACCTAGGACCTTAAAATTGGGTATCATCGGCTTCCTCTCGTCGCGGGCAACACGCTCGTTTTTTCCGCGAAGCTCTAGCTCGATCAGGGGCCAAACGGCAAGGGGGGGGTCCAACCGACCCCCCCCCCCTACACATTAGAAGCTGGCAAACGCCGCACACATGCGAGGGTTAACCCTCGCCGGCCGAGGGGGGGGGGGGCGGGTGCCGCCCCCCATAGGTTTTTTTCGCGATAGCTCCGAACACGCTGGCGATGGAGAAATGAAACTTAGCATACCTGACCTTTGATCCAAGCCGCATCTTTTGACACCAACCGCATTTTTGGGTCAGGTCAGGTCACTGATCTATGACGTCATAAGTGAACCTCTGCACGGTCTTCAGATGTCGCAACTTCGCAACGCCCTCACTGCCAGAGGAGATGTCACAGGGAAATGAAACTTGCAGGATCTAGTATCGATTATGAGTCTCACAACTTGTTTATCTCGGGTTTTTCCTAAAGGTCATATGAGGTCAGGTCAATATCGTGACCTCACCATTATAAGTCAATGGGGAAAAATGAAAACTGCTATTCTGGCGCCGGGAACGATCTCCAACTATCTCAAGCACACAGAATCGTGATTTGATGCACTCCTTGCAAGGTTAGATGCGTCACTTTTGCGATGTTGACCTTGTGTGACGTCATTTATGACGTCATCAAGGTCATATTAGTTTTTCGTCAATATCTCCCGATCAAATTGAGCTAGCGAGTCGAGAAAGCGACTAGTGGACTCAGGAAAACCTGCCGAATCGAATGATATGCGACATGACATCTTTTGACTAACTTCGTGACCTGGGGGTGCTGACCTGACCTTGACCTGAGGTCAACACCCTAAGTTGACCTGGCCCGAACAAAAAGTATATCATTCGACGCGCCTGAGCGAGGCGAACACGATGCTGCCAAATTCGCGGCTCTGCGGCCGTTTTTTTTGCAAAGTTATTCACCAAAAACTGAACCGTACCTTGGGGCACTTGACCTGACCTCAGAGGTCACCGGTTGACCTAGGACCTTAAAATCAGGTGCCAATCTCAGCGTCTCGTAACGGCGCACACGCTCGTTTTTTCCGCGATGCGCTAGCTCCACCAGGCGCGAAACGGCGTGGGGGGGGGGTCGTACCCGCCCCCCCCCCCTTTGGCCGGCGCGTATGTAGAAAACCAATAGGTCTGGCGAGGGTTAAGGTGCTTGAAATGTTGTAAACCCATGGACATTTTTAGGGTATTAACGTGGACGGCTGGGATTGCATGGACGTCTCGCTGTCCATGAATTCCTAATAGCAGTTTCGGGCATTATCATGGACGATGAAGCGATATACCAATCATCCGAAATGCATGGACGCGCCCGTTCGTCCTTGAGAATACTCCTATGTAAAATGCTATCCTAGATTAGTGTGTTTTTTCACCACCACGTGGCGATAGCATCGCCCTTTTAGAGCGACATTTTGATTGGTTGGCATTTTTGTAAGACCGGTTCTGATTGGTCGTCCATGAAAAGAAGTCAGTTCTCACTAATCGTCAGCTGTTGCAAGGCTTGAAGCCGTTGGTAAGCAACATCGGCGGCGCCGAGAAAGTTCTCGCGGCAATTTCCATGTCCGTTTTTCTGTGTTGGAAGAGTCGTGTCGCGTTTGGTTGGCGTTTGGATTGTGCTCTAGGCGAGTGGATAACGATGGGTGGAAATAGAAAGGTAAGCATTCGGCTGTATGGCATACTTCTATGTCTTTTTGTATTTTGTATTGTTGCCCCACTTTTCTAAGCCCTGAGCATGGCCACAGCATTAGACTTAGGCATGCCATGTTTGTCAAGCTTGATTTTCCTGTGCTTGAATGAGATGACCTTTTCCTAATGATAAATAGACTACCACTGTCAATATATTGACATGCTGTTCTATATTTGTACACTAATAGGGGCTGTTGAGCTGAGCCTGCTCAAGACAGTCACAGTCACAGTTATGAATCCTTAAAATCTAGTTTTGTTGCAAGAACAGCATTATCTTGCTTATGCTCCAAAGTCAGTTTGGAATATTTGGGGAAAATCAATCAATTTACCAACCTCTTAGGCAGAGTCACAAAGTTAAACACTGCAGACGGCACAGGTCTGCAGCGTTGCCAGCTACTGAGTGTTCCTTTACTTTTATATATAGATGTTATATTGCCTATCAGTGGTGCTGATCTATCTGATTACCTACAAAAGAAAATGTTATTAGCCATTTTATTGTCAAGAAATAATAAACTGTAGCCATGTGTAGTACCTACACTAGACATAATTCCGAATGCCATTTCCGAAGTCCTGGTTGGTAGGGTCTAGACCATCTTGGCTCAATTTTTTGAAGGTAATATCCAGAGTAGATTAGAGCAATGAAAATGTGATTTTTTTCCCAGAGGCATACATAGTTAAATTTCATCACTGTCCAATTGTGTTGTTGCGCATGGTCATTGGCTGGCCTGTGCTCTTTATGATAAAGGGGAAAAATCATACATTGTTTTATAAATTATAAAATCCTCAAATTCTGCCTGAGGTGTCAATTGATAGTTTTAAGGATTTTGGAGTCCCCGGCACCTAATTTTGATAGGTACCTACTATGCTGCGGATTTTTGCTGGACATTGTATGGAAATGTTAATTTGGAGATTGCATAAGCATGTATCAATGTGATCATTTATGGGTGTATCCATTTTTAAATCTGAATTAATAGAGTATTTTTGGTATGTGGCAGCTGTGCTGTTTGACAACCTTGCTTTGACTTTTGTCAATTCTCTATATTCAGAGACATGGTTGATCACCATGGTTGATGATATTTACCTTTTTATAAAATTATTTGCATTTAACTTGGCAGATTTCTTTTATTCTGCCTCATAGGTATGTTTTATGTATATAATCCAACATTGCAGCTACTGTTTTACCTCATAACTATTACAGACATTGCATAACTATTAGTGCTTCCACCCATGAAGACTCAGCTGAGACAGACTCAGATGAATAGATAGGCTTTGTCACCAACCATTAGTCACACTTCATTTCCCTGCTTCCCCCAGTTGCAGGGGCACAGTTGGTGGATGAGTTTGCTGACCTGCTGCTGTTACTGAAAAGGCACAATAGCCTTGTATGAAATGCAAGCTTGTAACTTAGGTGAATGTCCATGGCCATGCTCTGGTCAAAGTGTTTCCTCTCTTTTGTGAATTTACTCATCTTCACCCAGCATCTGTGTCATAAAAAGCAGAAACACTTAATGCTGTAAAATCTGCAGGTTGACATTGCAATGAGAACCACAAATATTAATCTATACCTACCACATCTACCTACCTAATTTTGAGCTAAAATTCCGCAAATTTGAAAATTAAAATGAAGTGGAACCTGTGGAATGAAATTTGGGATTTTTAAAGTCTTCCATGAGTTTGAAAATTGAAATCAACTTGGCTGTGGCAACTGTCAAGTAGCTTCTGAACTGCGCCAGTTAGTTTTACAGAAGAGCGGCTTTCAAGGGCCACTTCCTTGGACATTTCAAAACAATTCATCCAGTTAAAACATCAAATGACCATAATTTTTCCGTTCCT